CATTCGATTAATAGTATGTGCAAAAACGTACCAAAAAGTAATTTGTAAGCAACAGCAGCGAGTGACCATGCGCCGCCAAGTAAACCAAGAGAATCCAAAACCTAAATGAGATTACGAATTAATTAATTTGTATATAAATTAACAATTCAAAAATACTTACAGTATGTGTTCTTTAAATTATTTTAAGGTTAATGAAGGCGAAAATTAAACCAAATCCAAGAAACTGTTTATCAAGATTACCTTTGCTCTGTTTCTATGGTAGTTATGTCAAAATCTGGCTGGATTGACGTAAATGGAAAAATAAATTGCATGCGTGACACGGCTAGATAACATGTAAAAATAAGATTGATTTAATTATAATTTATGGGTATATTTTACTTCACCAATAATGACTTCACTGATATGTCAACAAGTGATGCTCTGAGAAGTGAATGCCTTACTAATTTACAGAATTATTTGATTAAGGTTAATACAGAAATGAAATTACCTTTTCTTGATGTTAGGTAAGGTTTCATATCGTAATCCGGTTGAAATCCCATTATAGCCTTCCAGTTTGGGATAATAATTTTCCTGATGCTTCGACCGAAAAAAAGACTAACATCCTATAATAAATGAATTTTAATATGGTTGGGCAGTAAAGAAAAGGTTTTATATCTAATTGAAAATGCGTACATCTCCTGAAATAACTTCATAAGTATTGGATTGTGTAATTGATTGTAAAAATGTTGAAGAAATATTTTGTTTCAAATAAACATTTTCTGTATATTATAAAGATTTAGAGTTAGTGGTTATAATTAATAAAGAATTAATGTTTATAGGCATACCTGAATCAGAAACTCTAACGAAAAACCGTGAAGCATTTTTATCCATAAATTGTATTTGAAAACTAATCAATAGTTTGCCACGTTTTCCATACTTTGTATTATTTGATGAACTTAAGATCAATTTATAACTATTTTCAAACGGAATTGAAAAATATCCATTATAATAAGACCCATCTTTTTCTGATGGATTTGTTATATATGAGTTGCAGTCCTGATTTTGAATATCCAGCTGATTATTACTAAGGTTTTGGTCATCTTTAAATATTTTAAAATTCAAGATTTATGAATATAAGATTCTTATTAAACATTCTCCCATGCGTCAACTTAAACCTTTATCCCTAACTTTTAAATTTTGAGTTGACGTAAAATTTATGCAAGTTATTGTATCTTACCAATAAAGTAACATGACAACATAAATATATTTTCAGAAAATATTTGGACATCTGATTAATTTTTAAACCAAAATTAATTCATTGTAATTTCAAACATATGTTTTATTACAATTTCAAAAATAAGTTTTTTCTTTTTACCTGGCATCGGCATATCTTCTTTAATATAAGAATAATTAATGACAGGTTGATCGTTTACAATGTCAAAAATCAAATTAATAGTAAAGATTGTTATGCAGATTAAAAAAAATAACATAGTAATAATTCTTATGACATGAATTGAAAAAGGTTCAGTTTTGCGATATCTTTGGTAAACTTCTCCCAAAATCATTTTTCTCGAAATTTAGGAAATTATTACTTAATTATTATAAAATATATCGATTAAAATTCATATTATATATATAATATGCATTGATTAATTGGTAAATATTGTGTTACAAGCAATTTTGAAACTTACATGTTATGCATAATAATCCCGTGATGTGATTTCTCGAATTTGGCTGTACGTACGTATGTCTGAGTACATACATATGCATATATTATGCATATATTTACATCTCTTTATTACGTGCAATGTATTGTTTTCATTTTCCGTGTTATTAATTCAATAAAGGGGAATAACAAAAAAATATTAGATAGCTTTCTTTTGATTGATACCTCCAACATAAGTAAAATTAATATAGACACTATTCTTCATTATCGCGTCTGAAGCTTGAAATTAGGGACCTTGATTTAAAAATATAAACCCTAACAAAATCCACTTATACATTTTTAAATCCTTTAAGCTAATCATAAAAAAAAAACTAAATTGCACCCAAAAAATTTTTGAAATTTTCATATTAAAGTATTTAATATTTCAAACTTCAGCCGCGACATTCATTATAATATTGATTTACAGAATTGTATTCTATAATAAGTGTACAGAAATATTTATATAATAAAACTCAAATGAGTTAGCTGTAAGATGCAACGATAAATATATATGAACTGATTATTTTAGTATATTTATTAAAAATAATCTTTATACTCATCACCTAAATTAGCAAACGCGCATAACTTAAAAATGAATTCTTCACGCAAAATATATCATTGAACCTGAAGTTTAGGAACCACTGCAGAAACTTAGGGGATCTCTTGCAGTATAGGTGACACCACTAATAAAAAGTATTATTAATCAATTGATTTAGAATAGGTGTTACCCATACTACAAGAGATCCAGAATGGATTCAATAAATCTTACGCCTAGGTCTGGAAGGTTTGTTCACTGAAATCATCTGGAAATTCGTTTTACGTTACGCGAAGGATTCGAATGTTGCTAGATACAAAGGGTACGTACGTACGTACGATCTTCTAAATAAGTTCATTTAAAATAGATTGCCTAAGTTAGTACCGGGCGGCTGAAGTTACACCTGTATTAAAATGGCTATGCGGATAATGTGTGCATGATGATCTAATTTCAGGAGCTAATTTCAGTCAAGCGCAACTTCAGATACCTAAAGTTGCATCAGGGACGACATGCGCATCTATGTTTATTATTTTGTGAAACTCCTAAATACAATTCTTAAATTTAATTGTTATCGTTTAAAAAAATTTTCACTAATCAATCAAGTCTCCCTAAATACTGCCACAAACTCTAGCCCAAATATATGCATTATCAGTTTTTCTTATTGTTCTCTAGCAGTTTGACTCTACGAGCTACAGTTACACTAGGGGATCTAAACGTATTCCAAACTTTAACTTTGATAAAATTATGTGTCATTAATTTAACGAAAGCCAAAGTGAAATGAGTTTGAATGTTCTATTTGGAATAAATGTTCTAATAGTTGATTTAACGATGCTAGTGCTGTAGTGATTTAATCAATACGAAAGTCTATCACGAGTTATATCACTTATTAATTATGAATCATCTTTAATATTCCATAATATTGATGCTCGGGAAAAAATGTCAATTTTGCCTCAACACTCACGGGTTTGGGTCAAAATCCCGGCAAAAATATCATAAACCATAGCTAACCTTAGCCTAACCCTTATCAAGATCTACTCTTTAAACATACCATATTTTGTGATTTTCTACTTGAAAATTCTGACTGTCGGGATTTTTGACTATTTGTCGGGATATTGACCGGCACCCAACACTCATTTCTAATGTATTATTTAAATTTTGAAAGTCAATTAAGAGTCGAAGATATGTTCTTTATTAAATGTTAAAATTGAGATATACAATACATATGTAATTTATTAAAAAAAAAACTGTTTTTCAAATGAATAAAATAATTTAATTTATTCATCTTTCATGATTTCTAAAAATTTCTAGTTATGTAAAAGAGTTTGTCGTTATGTTATTTGTCACTACCATTGGATACTTCATTAATTACTGTATTTGATTGTTGAATTTTTTCTAAATATTGCACGTTTACTACATAATCTCTTAAAAATAATTGTAACAAATCTAATCTTTTTTCAAGTTGTTCGGTTGAAAGTTCATCTTTTAAAGCATTTTTATCATGAATTAAATGACTAATGAACGGCATTGATTCCAGAGTATCTAACAATTTATCTTGTACAATTCGGTTAACTTTAAAAAGATGTTTTTGAACCAAACCAAATGGTTTAATAGCGCTTGCACCTAAAATAAAATAGGATATTTTAATTAGATTGAAAATTATTCACATTATTGGTTATTCAAAATAAATTTATATCTACCAAAAAGTAATGCATAAAAACTTGTAATTAGCCCAAATGCACCAC